GCGAATTTCTATAATGGAACCAGGCTACGGGCACTGCGAAAATTCAAATAGGGATAATGGATGTTACTGATTAGATGCCGCAATTTGCAGGGTTGGTCGTTTTGCACAAGTTCTCCTGGTGAAGTGGTGAAAGGTCCGTTGAATTGAATATCCTGATCGTAGGACAAAAAAAACAGCAATTTGTGGAGGAAACCCAGACTAAGTGCTATGTGGAAATTATTGGTATTTACCAGGTGAACATTCAGGATATCCATTCCGGCGATTGGGTAAATCAATTTGCGGGTAAATACCCAGTAATGTGCGAATCTATGATTTTCTTGAAAAAAAAAATAGGAATTTAGCAAGTCCGGAAAATACTGTTGTTTTGGATATTATTAGACAATGAGTGAGTCCTGGAAGTCTGCACTATTATTTTGGCAACAATATTAGCACGATTCCGTATAGTATCCATTTTTCGTCCGCAGACACTAACTTTCCGTCCGCAAACACTTTTCGTCTGCTGCAGTGTTGCCAGTTCTACAGAATTTTCTGTAGATCTCCTGCAATATTTCATAATCAACTGAAAAATATTTTGATACTTATCCAGTATTATGATTATCTATATTATTATTGATCTTTAGTTAATTACATACACTTATGAATTGCCTGTAATATCTGCACGCTGTTTAAAGAGCCATTCACCTGGTGGGTGACGCCACACTCACTCACTCTTTGACATCATTGGAACACCGTAGAAAGGTCGGCGACCCTTCATTTTTCTATCGATACTTCCACGGGAAATGTTCTTCGGAAATCTCTGCTATCATCCCTTTACTCGCAATACCAGTCAGACGAAATAGACAAGCCCAGTCAGCACATCCTTTCGTTGTCAAACTCGGAAGATGTCGAACAGCACTTTATCATAACTCCTTCATCCATAGAACGGCTAGACTCTGGAATTCATTGCCTGAGGAAGTATTCCCAACAACATATAATCTCCAGAAGTTCAAAAACAAATTCCAATACCTACCTCTTGTCCCTATCCTCCCTAGGAACGCACGATGTTCTATGAACATTATAGGAATTTCCTTTCGTGCGCCCCAAGCAATAAAAAAAATTCCTTTTTCTGCAACCCACACAAAAGTCGTCCATTTTGATACCAAAATTAGCTCTTAAATTGACGTTTCTATTACTGGCACAAAATAGGTATGTTGCTAGGCAACATATTTAGTTCCTAGGAGCTGAAGTTGAATCTTAGTTTCTAGGAGCTAAAGTTCAACTTTAGCTCCTAGAAACTAAAAAGAATGTACTGGACGTCATCAAGAATAAACAACATTGTGACGGTTGGTCATTTGGGTTGAGACGCATACCTGATTTGTTTCCGATTTCAGCAGATTTGGCATTTCATACCCATGCTGGAGATATAAATACACCTTATTATAGTTTAGTATTAGAATTATTAACATCTCAGTTAAGTATTTTTGTTTTGACCAGGAAAGCCTTCAAGATTCAAATATTTGCTTGATCTGTATTTCATTCGTTTTTCTCGGGATGGATAACTTGTTTTTGAATAATCACGGCAAGCAATAGTTTTTTTGTCTCAAACAACGATATTGTTTAGCTTCATTTGATTATCAAGTCAAACACAGTGTAGTATGGAGAGCAATAAATAATCACTATTATTATTGTTGATATTCTCACTAACCTAACATTTTCCACGTCTTGTTCCTATACCTGGCACTGGCGCGGTATTTGCCATTAGAGCACCTGGTCCATACACAAATATGTCACTCTGTGGTTGTATTTATATTGAAACTACAATTCGAACATCCTTGAAAACCTAAGCTGCTGTTAATGCAGATAGAATATTCTCACCACATTGATTATTTGTCAATATTTGTTGCATTGCATACATATGGCACGGCATTGGTGGTTACTTCACATGTTTATTTGAGTTAATTGTTTCGATTGCAGAAAAAAAGTGACTTGTTCGACTCGCAAATTTTGCTTTCGCTCGGTTTCGCTAAACGCTCCGACTCGCAAATGCAAAATTCGCTTGTCAAACAAAGTGTCACTTTTGATCCTAATAAAACAATCTACTATTTGAACTCTCATGATCCCATTCACTTCTCCATATCACAAAGAGGATGTGAAAGGTCAGCAACAGTGATAGTCAGTGTACTGATATGCTACATAGAACTTGCTCCCTGTGTCATAACATGACAATAACCTTTACTTAAGATCTTTACGGTTATAATTTCTATTATGAAAGCCATAATATAGGCCGTAATTAATTAAGAGAGCTCGCGGTTTCACGTGTACTGAATGATTGGAATCCACCTGGGAGAGCACTAAAACGAATTATACGGCTGTGACTACTCAACCATTATTGTATAAGAACTAAAAATACCACAAAACAATACGATTGGGTAGGTCTCTAGACAGGGACGGATTGATCCGGATTCTCATAAGACAATAAAACCTTCCCAACCCCTAACATTGTAGTTGGTAGATACATGTGTTTATGAGAAACATTATGAAGTCATCAAAATGCATTGGAATTAGACTACCTATGAAGCAGTTGAATATCTTAAAGGAATCGAAGAAGCTAATGATATTAACTATTCCCGCACTGCTTCTAGCATCATTCACAAAACACAATTGAAAGTATGCATATAGTTAGGAAAAAAAGTGTGAATAATTTCAATACTCGATTACCTACACATTATAAGTAATAGAGAGTTGAAGTAATCACTGTACGTAGAGCTCCACGTAGACGTTAACGTACGAAAAATAACGTTTACGTTAACGTACGAAAAATAACGTTTACGTTAACGTACGAAAAATAACGTTTACGTATTGTCGTTAAATTGAGTTGAAGTCGCCACTTTGGTCGTCACTGTCATCATAACGTAATAATACATTTTGTTTTCGGTTTGTATTGGTCATTTTTGGTTGTGTGTTTAGATTCGAACATTTATTCCTGTCAAAATTAGAGGACTCCTTGATGCAGAACTCGTTGGTGATCTCGAATTTGATAATTTTGACTCATCGGCATATTTCGAGTATCGTTTGGTTAACGTACGTTGATATTTAAGGTATACGTGAAGGAACGTGAGATAACGTACACCCGTAAGCCCACTAACAACGCAAACGTGAAGAATTAGAAAATGCGCATGTGTAGCTGTCAATTTCCACGTTTACGTTAACGTTCATGACAACACTTCAACTCTCTATTAATAACAAACGAAACATAACATAGCTTCTTCAGAAATACTATTCGTTTATCTTGTCAGAAAAATTTGAAATTTGGCAGGTTCATTCTCAGAGTGATTAGTTAAATAGAGTGATTTATTTTTCTTATTTCTTCTGCGGAAATTCATCCCATTCTAGGGACATCTGTGGAACCGCTGCCAGATCGGTAATTAGCCTCGGTAATTAGAGAGGATTTTTCGGATAAAACATCTTAATCAGGTCGCGTTAAATAGCTTTTGACAAAAAACTGGAACAACCTTCAAAACATAATAATCACCAATAACAAGATAATTTTCAGAAATTTATTACTTATGATGGGCGAGTAGACTGATAATGAATTATTGGCATTCAATTATTCCACTGTGTCGTTAGGGACCTCAATTAATTTTCTTCTCACGCTCTCTTTATGTAAATAATGAGTGGATGCGTTGTTCAAAATTGTTGAATTCCATAGTTCATTTCAAACGTACCGTCATGACCGCCATTTGGCGATACATCGAATAAATGGTGACGACAGTTTATATGCTGTTGCCAGTTCGATTTTTCATTCATCAGTCAATACCTTGTCAAAAATTCCGTAGATTTCGAAAGATCTGTTTAAGATCTATATTTAATACTTAACGAGTTCCAAGAAAGGATAATAAAATGAACCTATAACGTCAAAACATTATGTACTCATAGTGAAGAGAAAAATAACCTATTTCCAACAGAATAGAAACAAACAGAACAAACCTGCTCACACAGAAATAATTATATTTCTGATTCTCAACAGAGGTATACAAGGTTTTTTCCTAATTCTTCTAGTTAACAAGAAATTTCATCCCGAAAATTGAACAAAAAACGAAAAAAATCAAGTACGCATCCGCGTGATTGTGCCTTCCGCACGAAAATTCCAACAGAAGTGACGTCAGAATGGCTACAGTGAGGTACATGGGTGGAAAAAGGGGTCTCAAATTTTATTTTGACCCCTATATTTTTTTATTGGTACCACTCCATAGTATACATCAAGCTTACTCAAGGCATGAAATATTCGCACTTATTTCAATGACACCCTGTATAAAAAATTGAATTCGATCTGGATCAGATGAAGTATTGTCCTTTTTTGGTTTATACATATCATTAGTACCTATATGTACAACTAAAGATTGATAATAATATAGGCGATTATAATAATAAATAAGTATCGAAATATTTTTCAGTGGTTTATGAAATGTTTCAGTAGATGAGTAGATCAATATGCAAATCAGGATATCTTCAGAAAATTCAGTAGAACTGGCAACTCTGCAGCGGACGAGAAATGTTTGCGGACGAAAAGTTAGTGTCTGCGGACGAGAAGTACTTGCCTTCGGTTTTTCGTTCGGAAATTAGAACGTAAAATGTGTTTTTTTGTAGAGATCGACGAAAAATTTGTTATTTGTCAAAAATATGAAAATACACCAATGGAAAATTACTAGTCCGTTACAACGATTTTATCTAAATTTGTTTGAATGGTTTTGTCTCACATATAAAGAAATAGTGATTGAAATACGAATATGGGCCATTAACGATTAATCTCCTGTACAAAAAATGCATTCCGGTGAATTACTCATCATTCACTAAATCAGTATGACATAGCTCGTTCTATACCCACAAATAGCATGAACATTTGAACAATGTTCGAGTTTCATTTTGGTAACGGCCAGTTGGGATTGTAGACACAACCGAAAAACCAATGATCTCGTGATGTGAAACTGAGAATAATTAAAAAAAAAATTATGGGAACTCACCTCACGTTCTCGTGTTTCTGGATGTAGATTTTATGGAATTGACCTTCGACCGGAGAAATGATATCGTTTTTCATCTCCATGGCGACGTGCTGTGGCAACACCGACAATAGCAGCCGCTCCTGCAACATTGCAAATTTCGCATTTTCAGTGGAAACTTCAGGTTCAATATATACAGTGTGTTACAATTTGCTCCACCCCACCCCTGTATTTCCTTATTCCTTGTGCGATTCGGAATTTTTTTTTTCTCATATTATACTCCCCAAAATTATCTACTTCTGTCGAGAAAAAAAAATTATCAAACACAATTTCTTGGCCTACTGCGATCACAAAAACTAGAGCAAAATTGAAGAAAACAGATTAGGCATTTTTTAAAAAAAATTTCGATAATGGCAATCGATTCGGACTAGTCACAAATACTCCTATATCAATTTTCAAAACAATATCTCATACGGGGTGTTTTTTATTAAGGTTACAATTTTTCAATATTTGCATTTCTCAAGTCACCGTGTATAATGATCTTATAAGAATTTGAATGATACCAGGCATGATGGTAGTCAGGATCAGATCATCTAGCTACGGAGTGAGATAAATAACGAATAAAACCATTAGAAATTCAGATTTTTTATCAAGAAATTTAAAGAAAAAACTAAAAAAACGTATCAAAAAATAACTTCAAAAAATTATCCAACGAACAAAACAGCAATTATTCAACTTTCATCAGTCCTTCTGCAATCTGTTATCATTCTTTATCGCAATAACACTTCTCTATCTCTAGGCATGAATTTGTAAAAATAATTAAAAGGAGAAATGTTGTTACTGTTCAATTCTGATGAATCCTACTGATTGAAAATTATGTGAAAAGCTGGCCATGAATTACGCTTCGCTTTTCTCAAACAACTTTGACAGCTAGTATTGTGAAATCTTGCAAATCTGAAAGTATTGCGACTTGACTTCTAGAATATTGAAAATTAGTAGAGCAGGTTGTGAAAAATCATAAAATGGAGAAATTAACTCTTCAAGAAAAAGTTTTGATCGTAAGATTAGTAGGAGAAAACATAATTTCTTACAGAGCAGCAGCTGAAGAATTCAATGTAAGATACCCAAATCGTAACCCTATAGATCACAAAATAGTTTCGAGAATAATCAAACAATTCGAACTAACTGGTAATGTTGCAAGTACGATAAAAAGAGGCCCAGGAAGAAGAATTGGAAATGAAGCAGCTATACTCGAAAGAATTACAGCTAATCCAAATGCTAGTTTGAGACAAATAGCTATCGACTTGGGACTGAATCACATTCAGGTTTGGAGAGTGCTGAAAAAGAACAAAAAAATACCTTTCAAACCTAAATTCCTTCACACACTTGAAGAAGGTGATACTGAAAGAAAAATGGAGTTTGTTTGTGGTCTCAAGGACATTTTCTGAATGATAACAATTTCCTCAAGAATATTTTATTCACAGATGAAGCGACATTCACGACAAATGGAATATTTTCTTCACAGAACTCGAGATATTGGGCATCGGAAAATCCTAACTGGGTTGTTAATTATTGTAAGAGACAATATTCCGAAAAACTCAATATCTGGTGTGGAATTTTGAACAATATGATCATTGGACTTTTCTTCTTCGATGGTACGATGAATGCTGACAATTTCCGCCATTTCCTAGAAAATCAGCTATGGGATAGTCTTGAAGAACTTCCAATAAATATACGAAAAGATATTATTTTTCAACTGGATGGTTCTCCGATCCATAACGCCATCACTGTGCGAGCATGGTTGAATCGAAAATTTCCTTTGAAATGGATTGGTCGTAATAGTCCATTAATGCACTGGCCCCCCCGTTCACCGGACTTAACCCCTCTTGATTTTTACTTCTGGGGGAAAGTGAAAGAAAAGGTTTACAAATTCAGGCCAACCAATAGAGAAGAGTTGCGACAAAGGATAATAACAGTTTGTAGAGAGATACAACCAGAAGAATTGATGAGAGTTGTAAATAACGTGAGAAAAAGATATGAAAAATGTATAGAGAATGAAGGAGATTTGATAGAGAATACACACATCTAAACTTGTTGATATAATTGATGTTTTGTTCGTTGTATAATTTTTTGATGTTATTTTTTGATATGTTTTATTTAGTTTTTTCTTTAAATTTCTTGATAAAAAATCTGAATTTCTAATGGTTTTATTCGTTATTTATCTCACTCTGTAGCCAGATGATCTGATCCTGACTACCATCATGCCTGGTATCATTCAAATTCCTATAAGATCATTATACACGGTGACTTGAAAAATGCAATTATTGAAAAATTGTAACCTTAATAAAAAACACCCCGTATGAGATATTGTTTTGAAAATTGATATAGGAGTATTTGTGAATAGTCCGAATCGATTGCCATTATCGAAATTTTTGTAAAAAAATGCCTAATCTGTTTTCTTCAATTTTGCTCTAGTTTTTGTGATCGCAGTAGGCCAAGAAATTGTGTTTGATAATTTTTTTTTCTCGACAGAAGTAGATAATTTTGGGGAGTATAATATGAGAAAAAAAAAATTCCGTATCGCCCAAGGAATAAGTAAATACAGGGGTGGGGTGGAGCAAATTGTAACACACTGTATGTGATATACAGTGTGTCCTACTACTATACTGTCACATTCGTATTACTCGGTACGAACCGTGTAACTAGCGCCCTCTATGAGAGTCAAATATAAAAACTAATTCATGCGATGTGTCAGATTCCAAGAAACATCCATACAAAATTTCATCACAATGTTGCCAGTAGTTTCAACATAATCGTAAAAAATGTGTAAAATAAATATTGTTTCAACACCTTGTATCTTGAAAACGGATGGCGTTACGACATTTTTTTACTGAGCAAACCCAACTTATTTTGCAATGTTCTACCTACCCTAGCAAGGGGGTTAGGTTTTTTTGAAACACCCTGTATAATTTCTAACTAGCTCATCTTACCAATTTCTCATTCTCGTCCTCCATTTCTAGTCTAGCCGCAATACAATTTCGGGTGTCCAAAAAAGCTTTCCTTTGTGCATGCTCCATCAAATTGTGCAAAAATATTCCCACGACGTTGACACAAACGAAAATCACGATGTTTGCACTCAACTGAAACAAGAGACAGCTCATGTTGATAAAATTATATTATAGTGTATTGAATACACACACAAATTTTGTGTATCAATCCTTCAAACTTATTCAAACATTTCTCAATTCACTTTCATAAGAAGTGTATTTGAGCTTACTCCATAATTATTCAGCTTTTTTTACAAGCCCTTTAATTAATGGAATCATCTCGACATTCTTCTGGAGTCCATGATGATTTCAAAATCAATTCCAATGAACAAACATTCATGTTATGTTGTCTGATCGGCTTCAGTCTAATTTATTGTTTCATCTCACCTCAATACAGATTATGCTGTCGAAAGATTTATTATTTATAATTATTGTAATTGTTAGCATCTAGCAACTAGATGCTCAGTGGAATGTGCTTAGATCAGAGCCTATGACAGACGTGTGTGAAGACTGGCTCATACAGTGTGCGGCAGGCAGCCGAGTTAAGAGCAAGTGTAACCCTTGTCCATGTCATTTGTGCTCGTGTTTATTGAATTATGACCATAATATAACAGTAATCTATCTCCATTATCTCATATCTCTTATTAATCATGTGTATTCTGATTAAGGGAATCCAGTCATGATGAACGCTTTGAATGATCCTTGATGTCATAGAAACAGTGATTATTGAATGGTAGTAAATTAATAGGCGCCATACAGATTTAAAAAACGGACGTATAATTATGTAAAAAAATACTAAAACGTTCGATAGTGTTTTCGCGATAAAACAAGTTGTCTTTGGTTTGTGATTGGACACGTCATCTTGAACTTTCAAATTTTGTTAGAGAATAACTTGTTTTTCAATATATCGAAGACTGGAACCTTTGGCACGATAATACACTACACTCTGTTTTACCACTAACCAAAGCGACACGTATAAGGATAATGAACCTATCCTATCCAGCCCTCTGTATAATTTAGTAATATAACATGTGAAGTCAACCATGAATAACATCAACTTGGCGGTTATTGTCTATTCACGGTTGAGTGGACAATTTCTTAGTATATAAGTAGCCCACTAGGAGAGCATTTAGTTTCAATCTTGTCCTGAAGATGCTATCATAGTTAGCGAAACACGTGTCGGGATGTTCAATAATCACGGCCAGCAATACGTTTTGTCTCAGACAACGATATTATTTACCTTCATTTGATCACCGAGCCAAACACAGTGGAGTATGAACTAGTAAAGTAAATAAGCAGCCATACCACAGATTAACAAAAAGGTTTGTTAATCTGTGACCATACCCACCTGTTGCCACACCAAATCCCGGAAGTCCGTCGCGACGGCGGCGCCTACTGCGACGTGGGCGGCGCACAACAGCAACCCGAAGGCCGCCGCCACGTGGGCCCTCAGCGGCATCATGGCGTAGGCGAGGAAGACGACGAACACCACCTGCCACGCGCCCTCGGCTGCCACCCGCGCAGACGCAGACTGGGTCGGCGGGGAAGAAGAAGAAAAAGAGGAAGAAGAGGAGGAGGAGAGCGGGTGGAGGGGGAGGGCGAGCGCGCAGAAGGTGGCGAGGAAGAAGAGGACCGCGTAGCAGACCCACAGCAGGTAAGCGTCTTGCATGTATCTGGAACAAAGAGGACACGTCATCGGTATCTTGCATTCATAATACAGACAACGCACCGGCACGTTTAGGCAATAATGAACTCAATGTAAATACCAAAATACCTGGAAGGGATCCTCTGTGAACGACGAGTAAGGCAAAAAATATTGTTCAAACTTTGAAACTTGCATCCTCCTTTTAGATCATTCGATGATTAACTAGGTATAAAGGAACTTTAGTAAGAGATGCAAAACCTGTTCATGTTCCGGTTCCCACGAAAAGGGATATCCTGTAATGTTCAGCGAACATCGTGAGAACCAAGGAAAATAAGGTAGGAATTGGTGTTCTCCTAAAATTTCTGGAGGTTATACGCCTCGGGGAACACCTCCCTTGCCGATGTGTTCCAGAGCCTCACTGTTCGTTGGATAAACGAGTTTTTAGAAAAAGATGTTATGCAGGTCTCCAAAGTGACAACGAAGGGGTGCGAAGCCTCAACTCGACAGGTTAATTTCGCGGGGACTGCCAAGGGAGAAAAAATTGTTGATATTTCAGAAGAGCATCGTCCATGAAAATATATTTAAAATAGAACCAGATCGCCAACTTTTTTACGGTGTTCCAGAGAAGTGAGTGAGTTTGTGAGCGAGGTATCACTCACGAGACGAATTTCACTTCTTTTGGACAGAATCCAACAGTTTAAGGGTATGTTTGGGTGCTGCACTCCGAATATGGGAACAGTATTCCAGGGCAGGTCGGATCTGTGTCATAAATATCATAAGCAGCTGACTGGAAGTGAAATAGCTCCTGGCCCGAAACAGAAAACCAAGTTTTTGGGATGCACTTTTAGCAATCGATCTCACGTGATTTTCCCAAGAAAGGTTATTCCTGATAGTAATACCAAGCATCGAAATGGATGTCTTCAAAGGTATGGTTACTGAGATCGCCTTTTCTAGAGAAAAGGCATGCTTGTGTTTTGTTTGCATTGGAATCTACCAAGTTATTGGATCGCCATTCGAGTATTGTTGCCAAGTCCATATTTATGTTGTCAACATTTCTCCCTCGTTCGTTTCTGATTTGCCCCTGGCTGGTATTGGAGCCCTGGAAGAGAAGGCGGTATGGAGGGTACTATCATCCGCGAAGCTGTGTACTGGACATAAAGTTGCTTCCAACAAATCGTTGATATGGAGTAGAAATAGTGTTGGTGCTAGAATAATTGATCCTTGCGGAACACCAGCATTCATGATAAGAAAGTCAGATGAAACTCCGTCGACCACTACATGAAGAGACCTGTTTGAGAGAAAACTAGCTAGCAGAGAACATAGCTGGGGAGGAAAGCTAAAAGATGGAAGCTTGGCGAGGAGTCCGTGGTGCCAGACTCGATCGAATGCCTTCGAGATATCAAGTGCCACGGCTAAGGTTTCACCATATTTCTCAATAGATTGCTGCAATATATGTGGGACGTGAGCGAGCAGGTCACCAGTTGATCTCTGATGACGGAAGTCATATTGCTCGATGTTGATAGCTTTCTCCATGATCTTTGAAATAATAGATAGCAGTGCGATCGGTCTGTAGTTGCTAGGTAGGGTGTTTTGGCCTTTTCTAGGAACTAGTTGTACTCTTGCAATTTTCCAGTTGGACGAGAGTAGTTGAACAACTTGCAGATAACAGGTGTTAGTTCGGGAGCACATTTCTTGAGAACAATCGGTGGGATTCCGTCGGAGCCACAAGCTTTGTTGGTGTTGAGACCCAATAAAATCGTCCTTACAGAAGTTGGCGGAAGGTGATCTCTGTTGCAACCATCCGTTAGTCCTACCTGGTGTGGAGGAATCCCAGCAAGATGGAGAAGAGCAGGCAGTGCTCGGCGTGGTACACCTGCGCAATGGCAGCCTGCGCATGCACCAAGCCAAGGTTGGCCAGCGCGAACATGAGTGGCACGAACAGATTAGGAGATATAAAGTATTGGTGCTTCTTGATTGGAGGAAAACAACCTGCTACACAACCTGTTGCACAACCTGTTGCACAACCTGTTGCACAACCAGTTGCAATCATACGTTAGTCCTACCTGGTGTGAAGGAATCCCAGCAAGATGGCGAAGAGCAGACAGTGCGCGGCGTGGTAGACGTTCTGCGCGGTGGCCGCCTGCGCATACACCAAGCCGAGATTGGCCAGCGCGAAGGTGAGCAGCACGAACAGCGCCACGACGGCGGCGACGCTGCCGTGCTGCAGCTTGCAGTTGTAGCGCTGGTAGAGCTGCTCCAGCTCGTCGTTCTCGAAGCGGTGAGGGTTGAGGAGGCGCGTCGCGACGCCCTTCGACGTCATCGCCTTCACGCTGTGGTCCATGACGGCGGCGGCGGTTGGGGGTGGGAAAGGGGGTGGAGGTTCAGGAGGCCGTTATCGGCTGTCGGAGGAGTTCGGGGGGTCGGCGTCTGCGAGCCATCACTGGAAAAATAGAAGGAAACTTGAATTTTGATTATAGTGATCATCAGTACTTATGTGAGATAAGATATGGAACAAGTATTCAACTTTGTGCCGAAGTCGTTATATAGACAACCCCGCATGCCATCTCAAGTTTTACTGGTGGCCTACTACTTCTGCATTCCCTTCATCATCTATCTTACATCCATATAGGCTCGAATTAATAAACCTACGTCCTACAAAACAATTTGTCAAATGGAAATACAGTTTCTCTTGAATCAACAGAATATTTCATCGAATCAACAAAATATTTCATTGAATTAACCAAATAATTCATTGAATCAACCAAATATTTCTTTGAATCAACCTAATATTTCATTGAATCAACTAATTATTTGATTGAATCAATAACTTGCTATTTTGAATCAAACAAAACGATTCAATATCTCTTCATAAACAATTCATGGATGTGCTTTGATTGAATAAGATCCAGAGTTCATGTATATTTAGATCTATGGTTCATGCAAGACATATTTACTCAATTCAGATTTCCAATTCGCTCTGAAACATGATATAAATTTACTCATTTCAAGATTATATTTTGTCGTGCATATATATGACACTTCTATTTGCTTCATTCAATAAAATTTTGGAATTGTTGAAATTCCTTTTTTTCCGTGCATGTATTGATGTTTGCTGGCAGTAGTTGCTTTACACAGAATGCAGGTATATGGATTTATTCAAATAAAGGATTTTAACGGAAATTTCATATTATGTAACTCCAGCATTTCGGTACTATGCGACTATGATGAGAGTATTCCGTTTCATATTGAATTGGGAAAACTTTGATAGTCGAAACTCCTATACCGACGTTATATCCAGCATGGATGTTGTTTCCTTATCACAGCAAAAAGTTTCGTTCCACTTTCCTTTGTCCTAGCGTTCATTCATATTCTCCCAGCGATGTCAAATCAGGGCTTGTCTATTCAACAAACTTCCTCGTCATAAAATAAACGACCGAAAACAATCCCCTTCGACTGGCAATGCAATAAAAATCTGTTATCAGAGCAACGGAAGATTGTGATGTAATATTCGGGAAGCTTTGTTTTCGTCTTTGTCTTCAACTTGTTCCGTTGAAAAGGAATTCACTAATATATTCAAAACATGACTGTAGCTTGGATTTGGGTGCCCTTTTTACATATCATTCTCATTTCTCAAAGAATCAAGAACTTCGAGATGGCGAATATTCGCCAGTATATTAGGAGCTCGATCAATGGGGGAGACCACTGATTTTTTGAAACGACATTAACGTGAACTCTTTACTGTAAAACTACCAGTGAATTTATTTTGAATTTTTTTATTAATGCTAAGACGATGAAAAAAATAAATTATAATATGTCCATTTCAAAACACACAATTCCTACGCCATTTGAAATTTTATCAATTCATTGGTGTGACTGGTGCGACGTCTTAGTCCCAACACGCCTATTGTCCTTGAACTGACCAATCACACTGCAACACTGCAGAATGACGAGGTATCAGAGAGATAGCTACATTTCGGGATTAATACGTCACGGCTCCACCATTATATTTGGTTTTTTGAAATATCGAATGAAATATGCTGATTTCAAAACGATATAGATTCGATTTCCTTTAACTTCAACTCATAATATTGTACATGAAACGTAAATCATGATTCGTCGATTGAAAGAGGTTTGCACGGATTTCTTTCCTCAGTGGTCTTCCCCATTACAAAGTGAAAATTTTCGAGTTGATTTTAACACAAAATGTCTCCGAAGTTTGAATAAGAATGATCGAGAAGTCATGCACACAATTTTGACTGAAATTCAACAAAATTTGAGTTCTTGATGAAACTCTTTGTGCATTTTTATCTTGACAAGCTTCACATCACCCTGTAACGCTATGAAGACACGAAGCAACAGTACTTTGAAATAACTGTGTAGGCCCTGATTCCATCATGGTTGGAATAAATTAACCCTTCAGTCCATGTTCATCAAATTCTTGGTTTGATCGCAACTTAGACAAATTTTGTTCTCCCTCTTAATCCACATTTGTTTCCGGAACTACCCAAATCGGACATAGGGTAGGACTTGAAATGGGACGTCTTCATGAACATTTATGATATTTCGCGCTTTGATCGGTTCTATTCGTGTCTAAAAGTCCTATCGTTACATGAATAATAAAAGAGTGGGTAGAGAGGGGGTAAGTTGTGTTTCCCAGAAGCTGGAATTTTTTCCGCGTCTAGAAGAATTTCCACCTCCAGCAGCTTTAAAGACTATAAAAAGCTTAAATTCAACCATCTCGTGAATGCTATTCGCATGTCTGGTGTTTAGTTTCGAACTCGGTTCCGAAACACCCCTGAGGTTGCAGGATTCGGTTCGAAAGATAACCACCAGGCTCATCAATGACTATGAAAATTGCATACAATATCATAAATGAAAAATTGAAATCTAATATTATTTTGACAAGAAATTTTGAAATTCATATTCATCAAACTAGACAATATAACGTATTTCAACCTTGATGCTGCTAGTTCTACACTCGGACAAAAAAGATTCACTCATGCAGCCTTATCTGAGTTCAATAAACTACCAGATGAAATTAAAAACTGCAGAAATATAGGTACATTTAAAAATAAAGTGAAAAAACTTATCATTTCTGAGAGAAATGTTTGAAATTTATCAGTAAGTTATGTTCTTGACTAGAATTATTTTCTTTGTTTATTGTTATTGATTCTTTTGTTTTATTGTTATTTATTGTAATATCCTGATTTATTATTCATATTCAATTCTACCTCGAATTCTACTCATATTCATGTCCAGGTTTTAGAGGCGTCCGGGCGGATTTTGAAAAATTGTCCGGATTTTCGTCAGTTCAAACCGCTGACATGAGCTACCACCATGTGAGTGAAAATTTGTTCAAAAATTGAATATTTGTAGATTTGGTATTATTTATGTGACTTAGTTTTGTTTCAAACTCTTGATTGGGAATTTACTTTTCGTTTAAAAATATTTTTGAGTCTTTATGCGATTTGTGCAACAAAAAAATATGTAGGTAATATACCAGAACTATAGTGAAATCTCCAGTGATATTCACCATTCACCTTTGAATTCATTGATATGTATATGAAAATATATATTATGGGAATTACAAAAAATTATTCCGAGTTTTCAAAATTCCCGCTGTTCGGAATTTGTCTGGATTTTCAAGTCGCCTTGTCCTGGTTTTCATATTTTAGAGAAGGCAACCGTATGTTTGTGTAGTAGTTCATAGATATTTATTATTTATTATTTTATAATTATGTTCTTCCTCATACCAGAACTTGTTCTGACCGGAAGATATGTTTGATAAATAATTAAATAAAATAAAACATCAAGAGAACGTTGCATTTTTTCACCGTTATTATCATGGATTTTGTTCAATCGACCGGTCAGCAGCAAAATCAAAACAATCATAAAACATCATGATTCGAGAATTCTTTTTCTGTACTTTGGAATCATTTTGCCCAGAGACTAATGATTTAGCGAACTTCAAGAGATTATTGCACCTCGACAAACAAGTCTGTTTGTCAAGGTAAGTCCAAATTGAGTCATCAGTCAAAAATAGGGGAATAAGGGAGACAAACAAGTTTTGATGATGAACTCATATTCCAAAGTGATAAATTGGTAGTATTTCCCTCAGAACTACTGCAGATCTTGATCAATCCAACATCCCAAGGTAGAAAGTCCAGTCTAATGGAAATTCTGCGAGTCTGAGGCAAAAAATAAATAACTTCTGAGAGCAGAATGCACAACCAAGAGGTGAGGAAAAGTATACTGTGAACATCACTGTTCCATTGATACGACCATAATTTCCTCGATAATTTCATTGTTTCCACGATAGCAGGAACAGACTAATACCTAATGTTACTCTTATCATCGTGGTATCTTCTGGTCGCGAATTGTAAATGGTCGTAAATTGCCGTAAATCTCTACCTTTTATCGCACAGCTTGTAGATAGGCAGTTTCCTGTAATGCTCGAGAACCATTTTTTCTTTTGTTTACAGCGGAATATGGGGGCGTTGTAGAACTCGTCGTAGAATTCCGCTTTGTGCTATTATTTAGTTTGTTGCAAGACGACCACATACTAATAAACGGAATGTTGATGAGATTATGTTCATAACAATATATTACACATCACGTCTCGCTTTTATAACAGGTGGGAGATAATGAGGTTTTATAACCTCACGTTCCGTTGAATATATCCAGCCGAATGTATAAAAATCTCGAGAATCCGGAACAAATTTCAATCAGTAATAATAGTAGATAGCTAGATTTCTTGTGGTTTTCTTTGTATCTGTATAATACAAGACAAATCAGATGATTTTCTCCAAAATGTCACTGCATTTAGAAAAGAAATAATTCGGTAGTTGATAAAAACTTGTTTCCATAAAGTTTAACCCTTACACACCCGAGAATAATTTGGAAAGTATAGCCAGAATTTTTCCAGCAGGTGTGACTCAGAGTAACCACAGAAACTTCTTGAATTTTTTTCGATTTTTTTTCAGGATGATGTATTATTATTTTCAGGACCCTCACAATCGTGTTACTTGGGAGTGAAATGGGATTTCAACTCAGAATCAAGAAAACGCTAATCATAGAGAAATATGCATTTATTGTTTATGGTTTCTTATGAAAAGTGACGAAACAATTACGAAACATGATTTACGTGTTATGTACAATCAATATTATGAGTTTAAGTTAAAGGGAATCGAATCTATATCGTTTTGAAATCAGCATATTTCATTCGATATTTCAAAAATCCCAATATGATGGTGGAGCCGTGACGTATTAGTCCTGAACTGTAGCTATCTCTCTCTGATACCTTGCCATTCTGCAATGTTGCAGTGTGATTGGTCAGCTCAAGGACAATAGGCGTGTTGGGACTAATACGTCGCACCAGTCACACCAATCAATTGACACCATTTCAAATGGCGCAGGAATTGTGTGTTTTGAAATGGACAC